AGGGACTGTGGTGTGGCCATCCCCCCAGGGGGTGATTTTTGCTTTCTGTCTCTCTCTGTCTCTCTGGCAAGTGCATGTATCCTATTGCAAAAATCTTTAAAAAAAAACAAAACAAAACAGTGAAATACCATTGTGTACTCATTGGTTAGCAAAATTTTAAACTCAAACTCAGGCATTGCCACTTGTCCACACAAAGCGGATATGGAACAGTGGAAGAAGCTCACCCACTACCAGGAGTATGAAAGGTATGTCCAACTGGAAAATAAGATGGTCTTATCCGGAGTTGGAGGTGTCCAACTACCCAGCAGCTCCTCCTAAGTGTATACCTAAAGCAGTTCTTCCATATGTACTGAGATTACATGTAATATTCATGGGGACACTATAAAATTTAAAACCAAACTGCTTATAAGGTAGAAATATAGGTGGATATAAGGGATAAACACAAAATTCAAAATAGTGGGAATGGGGGGAAATTGGGAGAGCCTAGCAGAAGAAATTCAGAGAACAGCAGGGCCGATGAGTGTAGAGGTGTATATTAAAAGGATGGGGGAGGAGAGGGTAACCACCAGACATTGAGAAAAGAAGCAGAAAAACTCCGAAGCCAACATGGAATGCTTTTTCATAGGCAGTTCAAGCACGCTAATAACACTGATCTTGCGTTTCTAGAAAAGGTGGACATACTTAGCATCTTTTATTTGAGAAGCAGGAGGGATAAAATGTTTCTATCCAAGAAAAAGAAAAAGGGAACCAAGAGACCACCACACACAAAAGCAGCAAGCCACAGAATGGGAGTGTTATAGGAAGGTTTGCAAAGTGGTTGAAATGAAGTTTTTGTTCTTTGAGGTGAACTTAATTTGGGCTACTACTTTATTTTTCAGCAAGGTTAAATAAACCAGCCGTTGCTGTAAGTAAGCGAAATCCCACACTCCCTTCAGTCACTTAGGGGTTGACTTTGTCTTTCAGATCCTGCTCACGCTAAGAGATGAACCACAATCACGCGGAGGAAGAACCTGCTCCCTACTCCTGGGTGTGTGACTGAGGGGGAAGCATCCACCAGCGCTGCAAGGGGTCCCTAGTATTTTTTGCTGCCTCGGAGTCCCAGAAGCCTTCAAGCAGAAGTGGCAGTAGTTGGTTGCCAGTCAGCCAATCCACACTGGTACTGGGACCACAGGAAAACTGATCCTCTGGGGCTGGACAGAACTTGGTGGAGGAGACATCCAGCTGACATGTTACCCACCACCAGAGCACACGTGTATCTTTACCTTCCCTGTCCCCCTCCCCGCTACCTGCTTAGCTCTTCTCTGTCCCTTCCCTGCTACTACTGCACACAGATGATATAAAAGAGGCTCTTTGGCTATTTGCATTTTGCTTCCTCTTCTTTTGCAGATTGCAGTATTGAGCATTATTTTCTTCGTACAAGCTTCAAACCCCAACATCATTATCTACCAAAGTTGTTCTTCCCTTTTCAGAGGGTCGGGAGAAGGTGGCACTTACATCCTGAGTTTCCCAGAATGCAGAGACAAGTCGGTGTGCTGCTGACATGAGCCAGGGTAAAGGCACCCTTTGGAATTACTCATTTCTAAGATTAATAAAGTAATTCTATTTTTATTTTCTTTTTTTCCATTTACTAATTTCCCAACCATCAGTATTCACAAACAGGATTAAAATGGAGCCACCTTTTCGTTTTATTTCAATTCCGGGCAGTTTTTGAAACTTCATTTTAGAAATGTAAGCTGTAAAGAGATGTTTTATTTTTATATTTTGTTGCAGCAGATGATGGGTCCAGGCTATCCCCTTAGGGCAGCTCCCACAGCTGGGAAGCTGGGCTGTGCACGTGTCTCCTCATCAGCTCACAACAGGCGGACTCACCCACAGTGTGGCTCTCCGGGACACATCCGAGTCCTGTTTGGCATCATGTACCTCAACAGTCCATCCCAGGGACACAGCACAGCCCTGGGTGCGTCCAGATTTTCTGCTCTTTCATGCCCTCAACTTTCTCAGATCCTCTCTGGCTTATGCTGGAAAAAAGGTTGACAGGTGGACCACAGAGCACCCTGAAGGATTCATTTAGCTGCCCTACAGAGTTATTGGGAATGGGGGGTTGGGAGACAAAGTCTGGGGCGTCTATAGCCAAGTCCTAGACTCAGCATTGAAAACCCAAGGGAGAACGCAAACAGGGGACTCTAATGCCTTCTTTTTTTTTGAGAGGTTTTTGCTATAGGACATGTGCGCTCGCCAGACAGAGAGAGACAGACAGAAAGCAAGAAATCATGCCCCAAAGGGGATGGCCACACTGCAATCCCTTCTCCATTCTCTCGAGATCTTGGGCACGCATGCACACGCACCTGGCGTGAATTTTAAGCCACCGGGTCCAGACACGTACCGCAGTCAACTACATGGGAGTACAACAACATAACCATTACGCTAACTGCTGGTCCCTCTAATGCCTTGGAAACAAAAGTTTAAGCACATCCAAGCATTCTGTTTGCTTGTGAAGGAGGAGGTGTGTTAGTTGCAGGAGAGAAGAGAGAATGTATTTGAGATGTTCCTGGGACTTGCTGGATGGTATTTTGAGCTGTGAGTTGGTTAGGAAACAAATTAGAATTCCTCCATAGACCCCTGCTGATGTGTGGAATTTGGAAATAAGGGGTTGGGGGTGGGGAGAGACTGACCTGACTGTATGAGTTTTGTGAAAAGGAATAAAGAGTAAGTGCCCAGTTAAAGAACTTTTAGATAAACTCCAGCGCTTGGGATTGCCCTAGGTAACCAATGAGAATTGAGTTCTCAAGGTAATTTCTTAGTGCACCGCACTTGCATGATTAGATACTAAGATCAGATTCCAGATTTTTTCCTTCATGAAACTGAGTGCTTTCAAGTCATTTTCCTGGTACTGGACTTCTTTGGTCTTAAGCCAGACAGATCAGAAAAGACTTCCTTCATCAGAGGTGTCATTTCCAGTGTCGCTCTTTTTTTTTTTTTTTTTTTTAATTTTGATATAAGTGTGTGCACTCACCAGAGAAAGAAAGAGAGAGAAAGTGAGAAATCACACACACACACACCATAAGAGGTATGGGCCACACCGCAATCCCTTCTCCATTCTACTCAGGATTTCAGGCATGCACTTTTTTTTTTTTTAATTTTGATATAAGTGTGTGCACTCACCAGAGAAAGAAAGAGAGAGAAAGTGAGAAATCACACACACACACACCATAAGAGGTATGGGCCACACCGCAATCCCTTCTCCTCCACTCTACTCAGGATTTCGGGCATGCACATTCAGGTACCTCGTGTGTTTTTCAACCCTCTAGGTCTGGGACTTAAGCCGTGCAGTCAGCCTTGCGAGTCCAGTTGCCTTAACGTCCACTCCACCTGCTGGCCCCTAGTGTCACATTCCCTCCATCCCCCAAAGTAAGCATGTATTTTTGAAGACAGACAGACAGAGGTTCCTGTTTCAGTAATGCCTGTGATATGCTAACAGGGAGGCTGGGCTCCACACCCCTGCCCATACTTGTATCTATTGCTTCATATAACAACAGAACTCGGACACAAAAGAACATCAGGAATTATTGTGTGTTCTGTTTTCTTTGGGGTACTTCAGGAAACACATCTATTGGGTTGTTGAAAAAGTCATGATGCGTTTTTACATAGAAAAACAGAAAAAAAAATGTCATGACTTTTCCAACAACCCAGTAGTTGCCTCATTCTTTTTTTTTTTTTGGGGGGGGGAGAGATTTTTACTGTAGGGCGTGTGTGCTCGCCAGACAGAGAGAGAGAGACATAGAGACAGAAAGCGAGAAATCACCCCCCAGGGGGGATGGTCACGCCGCAATCCCTTCTCCTCCATTCTCTTCTCGGGATCTTGGGCACGCACGCACACGCGCCCGGCGTGAGTTTTAAGCCACCGGGTCCGGGACACGAACCGCGGTCGACTACGTGGGAGTCCAGCGACATAGCCATTACGCTAACTGCTGGTTCCCTAGTTGCCTCATTCTTTAGGTTGGGCCACAAGCCAACATTTTAGTGATGTTCAGTGAAGTTGGATAAAAAGGAAGGTCTGGTCAGGACCAGAAAGGTTATTTCCTCTTCCTTATTGAAGCCTCATATAAGGACCAGTGATGTCAGGTATAACATGCTGCTTCTCATAGTGTAGTTTTTAGGAAACCTGGACCCTCACCCAGACCTAAAGACCTCTGAAGGGGCCTAAAGTTCTTTTAATAAACATTCGGGTGATTCTCGCACCCTCTGATGTTTGAGAGTGGCTGCCACAGTGAACAGACTGACACACTATATCCCCTCTCCCCCAGACCCTTGACCTCCTTAAAGTAAGAGGGAGCACAGTCCCACCAGCCATGGCTCTAGGGCAGGGACATGGCCCCTGGAAGAACAGAGGGAGTAAACGAGTGCTATGTGGGGTGGAGGCAGAAAGAAAAGCCCTTAGAATTGGCTGGACATGGACAGAGCAGGAAAAAAGTCCTGATGACCAAACTCAGGAGTTTAATTATGGGGACCTCTAGCAGGAGCAAGGCACATGCATATCACCACACATATGCAGACAGAAGCTTAGCATCCACGTTCTTGAACCTGCCAATTTTAGTCTCAGCTGGACTTTTTTTTTTTTTTTTTTTTTTAAACAGTAGTAAGTGATCTCCTGAGAGGATTGTGTATTTCAGGAGTTGTTACATGGTTCCTTACTACGTTCACTTGTTCAGTCGCTCACTCAGTGCCGATGGCTGCTTCAAGTGCACATTAATCCCATGACAGAATTCTGCATTGCTCTGAGGTCTTAGACCTCAAAAAGAGAACTGTGGGATTGTGCTTTTCATACCCTTTCCCATTGCCAGATCCCTGACAAGAGGCCCATAGTCTGAGACAAGGTTCCTGGTTGTCCCATTGAGACTTAAACTTGATAAGAGAATTAACACTTTTGGGCCATTTGCCACAGACAACCACTGTAATTCTCAACTGATTTGAAGAGTGAGGAAAGATTTTCAAAAATGATGATGGTGGTCAGTTATAGGTAATGTACAACCACATTTCCATGTGTAAGGGTCCATACCAGGAGAGTACACCTACAGTAATCTGGAGGTGAAGTTTGCTTGCTTTGTGTAACTCTGAGCTGCTGCCTCTGTGTGTCTGAGGATACACTCTGCAAGAAGGAAGGGGCACAGGGCATTCACGCAAAGTAGTATATTTGATGTCTGAGAGTTTCTTCACTTCTGATTAGTAGATGTGAACATGGAATTAAGAAAAGGATAATTGAGGATACATATCAAGTCAGACGTATACCTTAGAATAAGTCTTTTACTGTTCCAGAAACAATCTTCCAGAAGATAAAATCATCCAAGAGTCCCCGAAAATATTTATTTATACAAAGATTTGAGAGTAATATTTGTATTTGTCTTTATACCTCAGTCTATGCGTCTGGGGCCAAGTCATTGTGTGACACACATGCAGCTTCCCCGGATGCCTCACATGTTGTAGCACCTGCTTCCAGGAAGACCAGATAAACACAGGGTCTTGAGGGATAAGAAGGGAAGAACCCAGAATGCCCCATGGCTGCATGGACCCCCAAATCCAGGTATATGCATCCTGACCAGAAAGTATCTAGCCAAACATCCAGGGGGAAATAGGACTGAGGAAGAAGGCGAGAGGAGGGACCCAGAGAGCAGCCAGGAGAGGGTTAGTTCCCACCCCTGACTTTGTAGTTCAGCATATCTAGGGCCCAATGTAGTTGATGGCCGGGGAACATTACCTGGATTTTCTCCCAGTAATGACCCAGGCTGCTGATTGGTGTAAGGAAGACAATTTGCAAAAATAACAACTATGTCCTTAATCCCAGGCAGTATGAGATACAACTCTGGGACTTTGTGATGGTAACCCGTCTGAAGAAACTTGTCTTCTGTAACGTAATCCAGATTCTCTAGAGCGGACATGGTACAGCAATGAGCAAATCTGAGCTCAGATCCCAAGTGTCTTCCAGTCAGGCCCTGACCCGGCCATTCTCTGCCTTTCTTCCTCCCTACGGTAGCCCAAAGCCAACTGCCATTAGATATGTCAACTTGCCGTCCTTTTCCTCTCTCCCCACCACCTCTGTCTGCGTCACAGAAAATCTATGTGTTCTGAAGAGTTCGGCCTTCCCCTAACCAAACCCACACTTTCTTTACCACAGTGATTCTCAGAGCCAGCAAGAAAGAGAAATGTCCCAAAAGGAGACCTCCATCTCTGCCTCTTGCCTGGAGCCGAAGGTTGAGGGCCCCAGGCCTCTAGGTGAGGTCTGTTGTTTCGTGTTTCCCAAGGAGCGGGCAGTCAGGCATGGCAGTTCCCTCTCCTCTCTCTCTGCCGCAGGCGGGGTCTCAGCTACACTTGCAAGACTTCACCACCATGTTGGAGAGCTGCTCCACCTTGGGGGTCCTCCCCACATAGTACAGGATGGTCAGGGGCTCCAAGTCCTGGGGCACACAGCAAGGGGAGGCAGATGCTTCTGGATTCATGGTGTTGTACAGTCCCAGCACCTGGGGAAGGGCACATTTAGAGGTTAGGGAGCCAAGCCTCAGGCCTGGAGCTCAGGAACACGGCAAAGTCCAGACGCTCCTTAGAGACTGAGCACGTGGTAGAATGGCTGCTGAGCTACTGAGAGGATTGCTGGCCCATAGCTTGAAGAGTGACTAGTTACTGTTCATCCACGATGACAAAATGTAAAGTGTCTGTGTTTGTTCAACGGTTATTAGCTTAAGCATCTACTAGTTATTGGAGGACTTTAAATCGATAATAAAGTTCTCTGTACTGTGAAGAAAGCACTCCTACACAGCCCTCCTTGCAGTAACTGATCACTTGGGCGAGAAATGCTCTCACTGAACATTGCCTTGGGCGTTCAGTAGGTGCCCACTGCAGACAGATTGTAGTACTAATGAGCTCTAAGGAAACATGCTTCACAAATTCCTGACCTATTTTTGATTCCCCTTGAGGAAAAGACAAACTATTCTCAGAGGTGGACTCCTCACCTCTGTGCTTTATCTTTTAGAATAACTTTGCTGCATTTAAGAGCTGAATGTATTTGAGTTCTATGCCAGCATTCCTTGTCAGCCATACACAAACACCTCATCTATATAGGATGGCATGTGACAGTTTCAAGGAAAAAATCTAGTTGAAAATATTGGATGGGACTGGCACATAGTAGAGCAGTTAAGCCCTACACAGAGGGAACCAGATCCCACATGTCTGACCATGGTTCAAATCCTGGTCCTGGTGGCTAGAAAAACAAATCTAGAGCCAGCAGGTGGCGTAGTGATTAAGACGGCTGGATCCCACAAGGCCAACAACATGGTTCTATTCCCAGACACAGTAGCTTGAAAAATGCCAGGCATATGTGCATGACTGCCCAAAATCCTGAAAGGAGAACAGAGAAAACGTTGTGGTGTCATCAACCCCACTGAGGGTGCTTTTGCTCGCTTGCTCTCTCTTTCTTTCCCCCCAGCAAGTGCATGTGCCCTAGACCCGAAGAAGGAGTGTTCCAAGAAAAAAAAAAAAAAAAAAAAAAAAAAAAAAAAAAAAAGCCCATCAGGCATATGCCCAAAGTCCTAACAGGATGGCAAAGTGGACAGAAAAAGATGGTGATGTGACATCACCTCATCAAAAGGTTATTTCTCTCCCTCTTTCTCTTTCTTTCCCCCCCCCTCTCTCTCTCTCTCTTTCTGACAATTAAAATATGAGGAGAATTTTTAAAGGCTAGAATGTGACCTAGTAGAGTTGGGCTAGGGTCAAGACCAGAACCCTGTTAGAGGGATTTTACTCCCCTCAGGTCATTCACGCATTCAACATCCAATCCCTCATTCATTCTTTTTACAAGTGACCCGGATGCCATGAGCCCTGCTCCTTACCGTGCTGTGGGTGGTGTCTGCACTGCGGAGGTATGGGCAAGGGCCTGAGCAGAAGTTGGCATAGTAACCCTTAGGTTCATGGACCCATTTCCAGCCCAGATCCTGTCGGAAGTCAATATAGAGGGGGCGCACACAGCAGTTCTCCTCCAAGTTACTACAACAAAAAAAATTTATAGAAAATCAACCTAAAAGGAAACCACCAATAAGAGAAATTACATACATGCCCTCATGCTTTCTCTTGAAGTCTTCCCATGCCATCATAGAAGATGGTTCTAATCAATGGAATGCCAGGCTCAAGTGCATGGGGCTGAGAAAACCAGAGAGGCATTTTCCTGTGTGAAAGACCAGGAGCCCAAGGATATAGTAGGTTGATTAAAATGCTGAATAAGGAAGAGTAAAGAGGCAAAGATGGACCCCTCTGTAGTGGTATGTGCTGCTAAGACCCTGTGTATTGTAGGCTGGGACCTTATGGGAGGCCCAGGTTTGATTCCTGGTCAACCTGAAGACAGGGCATGTTGCCTATAATCCCAGCAACTCAGGGAAGCTAAGGCATGAGAATCATGAGCTCAAGGCTGGCCTAGGCAGCACAGCGATATCCTGTATTAAAATATATATATATATATATATATATGCCAGCAGGTGGTGTGCTGGTTAAGGCAGCTCGATCCCACATGGCCAACAGTGAGGTTCGAGCCCCAGACCCTGTGACTTGAAAAACACAGACACGTGAACCCAAAAAATTCCAAGAGAAGAACAAAGTAGTGAGACCAGCAGGTGGTGTGGTGGATAAAGGCACTGAATTGATAAAGGTTGACGATGGTTCGAGTCCCAGACCTAGTAGCTTACTTTCTCACTTTCCCTTTCTCTGTCTCTGTCTGGCCAAATTAAAAAATGATAATAACAAATGGAATTAAATAAATAAATAACTCTCTTTTAAAAAAAAAAAAGGGATTGGGGGGCATGGACTCCCCCCCTGGGGGGGTGCTTTCTCACTTTCCCTCTTTCTGTCTCTGTTTATCTCCATTAAACACACATGGAGATAAACAGCAAAAAAACATAAAAAGAGACAGGCATGGTGGCACATGTCAGTAGTCCCAGCTAGAAGGTTGCAGTAGGAGGACCATTACAACACTATAAGACCATTCTAAGATCCTGTCATAAAAAGACAGAGATGAAGGTGGCCCTGGCCCCTTCACATCACAAATAAGCAGAGAGACATAGAGGCCAGCAGATGGCAAAGTGTTTATGTCGCTGGACTCCCACATGGCTGACCATGATTAGAGTCCTGGACCTGGTGGCTCAAATCATGCCAGGCATGTGTGAGTGTGTACCTGAGATCCCAGGAGGAGATTGGAGGAGAAGGGATTGTGGCATGGCCATCCCCCTGGGAGTGATTTCTCACTTTCCCTCTCACTGCCTCTGTCTCTCTCTCCAGCGTACAAACGTACCCTAAGGCAAAAACCTAAAAAAGAGAGAGATGTAAAGTGCCCCACATCAAACCAAGTACTATACATTACCAACTAGCTCAGTTTTGTTGAGGTTTGTTTTATTGTTACCTCCTCATTGTGTACCCAATCATAAATAACTCTATGTGTCTTGCACACACTAGCTTAGGCTACACCTAGAAGCCATCTAACCAAAGCAACCCATATCCTTCTACTAGAATCAGGATTTCTAGATTGCCCAAAAGTGATGATCTTGGCCCCTTTAAGTCTGTTGCCTGCAGAAATCCTTTTGCCAATACCCCTTCCCAAGTGGGCATCTAGCTTCTGCTTCAATATCTGCTGAGACCTAGAACCTGCTACTTCCAAAGGTAGCTATTAGCTAAAATTTGGCTTCCTGTGGGTTCCAATGGTGAACCGTGGTAGACACTATTGGTTGTTTGCCACCTCTATTCAGAACATGGAACAGCTAATAATAATTTGTCTGGCCTCTCTTGCAGGTAGGGTGGTCATGTGACCCAATAATGACCAAGCAGACATATAGAGAAGAATGCAGAGGGTGAGGGAAAGTTCTGGCAAAGAAACGTGATTACATTTTTAGCCCTTTATCCGTGGTTTCACTTTGTGCAATTTCAGTTACCCGTGGTGAACCAGTCTGAAAATATTAAATGGAAAATTCCAGAAATAAACAACTCAACGTTTTAAATGCTATGTCATTGGGACCAGCAGTTGGTGTAATGGCTATGTCGCTGAACTCTCATGTAGCCAACCGTAGTTCGAGTCCCAGACCCAGTGACTTAAACTCATGCCAGACGCATGTGCATGTATGCCCAAGATCCTGAGAGGAAAATGGAGAAGGGATTGCAGTGTGGCCAACCCCCCTGGGGGGTGATTTCTCGCTTTCTGTCTCTCTGTCTCTGTCTTTCTGGTGAGCACACACGCCCCATAGCAAAAACCTCTCTGAAAAAAATAAATAAATAAATGCTATATCCTAATGCCCGCATCATTCACCTCACTTCATCCCAGCATGGAGACATTTTATTGCACTTCATCACAAGAAGGGCGGGCATAGTACAATAAGACCTTCAAGAGTGAGTGAGACCAAATTCACATAACTTTCATTGCAATATATTGTTGTAATAGTTCTATTTTATTATTAGTTATTGTTAAGTTCTTATTATGCCTAATTTATAAATTAAACCTCATCATAGGTATCTATGTATAGGGAAAAAAACAGTATATATAGAGTTTGGTTTGTTTGACAGTTTCAGGCAGCCACTAGGGATTGTGAAACATGTTCCCTCAGATAAAGGGAGACAACTGTATTCATAAAAGTAACAGATGGAAAAGGGAAGCTGCTGGCTCTTCACCCTTTCCCCTCCTTCCCTTAAATGTGGACAAGATACTGGAGCTCCATAGTCTCTATGACCATAAGTGAGAGGATGAAGAGCCAACATACCAAACATGGCAGACTGGAAAGAGAGAAAACCTCTGCCTTTGACGTAATTAAGCAGCCAAACCAACCCTGAGCCTGCTGCTACAGGCTCTTGTGAAAAAGAAGTCCCCCATGGTTTAAGTCACCACTGCCTGTAGCCAAGAGCATTCATTTCTAATCAATAGACACATACAGGGGCCAGACAGCACAGTGGTAAAACACGAGGATCTGCAAGGCAATCCCACAGGGGAAGGTTCCAGGTTCAAGTCTGGAACCTCCCTGGGTACACTGGACAATATGCTTGCCTGTGATCCTGGGCTGACCAAAGGCTGGGGCTGCATTGAAGTGTCAAGACCCTGTTTGTTTGCCTGTTTGTTTGTTGATTTTTTTTTTCTCTCTCAAAGAAGAAAGAAATAAACTCTTTTTCTTTTAAATTTTGCTATAGGGCACATGCACTTGCTAGAGAGAGGCAGATAGAGAGAAAGTGAGAAATTGCCCCACCCCCACCCCGGGAGGATGGCCACTCCACAATCCCTTCTCTTCCATTCTCCTCAGGATTTTGCACATGTGCCCAGCGTGTTTCTCAAGTCACTGGGTCTAGGACTTGAGCCACTCTGCTGGCCATGGAGGATCCAGTGCCTTATCCACCATGCCACCAACTGGCCCTGGAAATACACTTTTTAAAAAAGAGAGAGAGATAACTAATGCACATACTAGCCCATTAGACAATGGCAACAACTACATTGCCTTTCCTGTACCTTCCGTTCCCAAGTTCAGCATCACCAGTTTATCCAGTTGTTCCAAAAGGCTTCCAGATCTAAGGCTTCCCAGTTCTTGCTACCCAGCTTCATTTAGGCATCCTCTCCACCCACATTGCCTCTCCTGTGCCCCTCTCTTTACCTGAAGTGCTTCCTCCTCCCAGACCCTCACTGATCCAAACCCACTCATCCTCGAGGCTCTGCTCTCATTTCACACCTTCCGAAGCCTTTCCTGTGTCCAAGGATGAGCTCCGTGCTCCTAATTCTTAAAGCACTTCATTCTTCAGACCCTCTCATGGATGTGATCACCCTGTACTTTGAGTAATTGTATGCATGCTTTATCATCCTCCCTCCCTTATAAAGGAGCAGTTAAACCCCTCCTAAATAAGGGGAAAGGCTGTGCCTTATCTTGGTTACCCAACTATTTCTGAATTAGTTGTTGATTTCCCTACTTCACATTTCCCTTCAGACAAAAACTGCCTTGTTTCTTCCCATCCAGTAGCATCCTTGGTCCCTTTCTAGGGAACTGAGCACCTCTTTAATGGAAACTCTTACATTACTCTCCCCATACACAAACACACCCTGTGACCTGAAAACCATGGAGAGGCTTCAGCCAAGTGCCTCTATTCCAAACTATTTTGCAACACTCTCTTGCATTTACTTCATCAGGCCTTTTCAGAGTTGGGCAGTAAAACAGTGAGACTCCCAGAAAAAAAAACCAAAAAACAGAAAGATGGGAGATCTTCAACTTCCCTGGAGATGTCTGTGAATCAGGGGCCTTCAGCTGAGTGTGGCTTAGTTAGATCTGGGGCCCAGGCCGCAGTAGGCACCTGTTGGATGTTAATTCCTGTATGGGCCCAGGCTCACCGGAAGCAGTAATTGGTGTCTAGGGCCCGCTTCTTCCGCTGACCCCCCTGGCCTGGGTTGTCAAGCCGGTGTGAGGGAATCATCATGAGGATTAGATGCGGGTTATGGTGATCCTTCTGTTTCTTGAGGCGCCCCAGATCTCCACGGACAAGATCATCCTCGTTGTCCATACCTACAGAAGGGAAAGAAAGTGGCAATTTCTAGCCTAAGGAAATCATAGCCCTTGGAGGCTGCTCCTCATTCATTCCATCACTGCCCAGGAGGAGGCGCAATGCGAGAGGGGCAAGCACAGCTTTATTCTAGTATCCAGCTACAAGGAGAGGGCAGATTACGAGAACTGCCTAGGGCTGGGAATCAAGAAAGGCCTGCACCTTTCTCAGACAAGCCTTTAACTTCAGGCATCCCTTACCGAAAATGAGAATATGAAAGGAAGAAAAGAGAATTCCTAAACTCCAGAAATTTCCAAGGTTGAGTTTCTAGGAAACATATTGGAAAATGAGAAATGACTCACCTTTTGCCATCTCTACAAAAACACCAATGGACAAACACCCCAAGCCTAGAAGAAGTCACCCAAACCCAGATGCCTGCCTCCTGGGCAAGGGTTGGATGAGCCCTATAACAACCAGAAAGTCCCTAATCGTGGCACTCTCATTCAGGGCCATCAAAGGTAGTTTATTTTAGGGGAGGGGAAAATGACTCTTATTTGTTGAGCATTGCTGGCATTGTGTTTTCCATTTGTTATCTCGCTTAACTGCATGCCACCTGTGAAAGAGGAGCCCTGCTCCCCATGTCACTGGGCTCAGAGAGGCTCAACACACTAGCACGTCCTCTGTAAGGTGAAAGTCATGCCCATTGCTTTTGTTGGCCATCTCTGTAAAGGAGCTTGTAGGAGTCTTTCTATTCTATCCCCTTAACACCTCCCACCTATCCTACTATACACATTCATTTTGTTACCTTTGAATTTGATTTCCATCACCTCATGGATGTTTTCCAGGATGTCACCATTGGGCTGAAAGGTGTGACATGGACAATGAATGCTGATTTCCAGGCCTAAGTTGGACTCTGCAAAATAAGACACAGAATCAGTGAGAAAAGCACTTGGTGTGACTGGGAAGTATGCCAGGCCACCCTCTCCCCAGGGGTGATCCAGGGCCTCTGCTCCATAGGCAGTCACAGGAATTGGGTTATGCTGAGGGTTACAGGAGACAGAAAGTGCTTCCAAAGCTCAGAGCAGGCCTTCACACACGTGTTGCCACAATCTGTGTGGTTCTGTGACATTATGAACAACCAAACGGGAGCATAAAGTAGTGGCCATAACAAAGAGTTGTAATAGTCACCCAAGTTGTCACCTACCTACTTAGCAAAAGGATAAGGATTCAGGAATTAAAGAAAACATTCATACCACCTAATGTTTGTTGGGAACAGAGATATTTGAACCACCCTAATGAGAAAAGATAAAGAGGCAGAAGCATGGAAGAGACTAGGGAATGGAAGTAACTAAACTTTAGAGTGTGACAGTGACTCAAAAGGCCACAGATTCAACGGGTCACAAGATGGAAGCCTGAGTGACAGGATTGAAAGTCAGGAATCAAAGCTAGAGGCAAGATCACCTGCAAAACAAACAGTAGAATCAGCTTAAATGAAAAATGTCAACCTTTCCACTAGGGCTGTGATTGTGGATATAGAGAACAGAGTAGATTCTCAAGGAGGTGAGATGGAAATCATGGTTACAAATGGCCACATTTCCCTAAAAAAGGAAGGACAGAGTGAGGTAAAAATTACTTATAGCTTTCATCTTTGGGAATCCTTATTCACTGTGATGGGGAAGTTGAGAATGTGAATGGCTCACCAAGATGAACAGCTCAGGAAGACAGTTGTGAAACTAGAGAACAGTCTGGATTAGACAGTCAATGGCCAAGGGTCCAAAGGACATGAGGACACAGGAGGTAAGCATGAGATAGTGGTGGCCTGGCTGGGCCCACAGGTAGAAGGCTCAGAGTTGATGACAATCAAGAACATTTGTTGAGCTTTACATCAAATACTAAGAATTTACAAACAATAATTCACTTCATCTCTATAATAATCCTACAAAGTAAGAACTATCATTATCCTCCAGTACACAGATGAGGAAACTGAGGCTTAGGGAAAATAAATGGCTTGCCTATGGTATCCAACCAGTACATGGTAATGCCAGGATTCAGAGACAGCCTAATGCCACACTTAATTTCTGAAGATGAGGAGAGAAAAGAGGGCAACAGAAACCACCAAGAAAAAGGGCCACACATTCACTGAGGTCTAGAATGGTTGTGTTTTCCCAGTGTCCCACCTGTTCTGATCAATGATGCCAGGAGTGCTCCCTGCCCAGCCTGCTATGGGAGGCCAGCTCTGCATGTAGAGACTGTCTGAGCAACAGCACAACCAGGACCCTTTTTTTTTTTTTTTTTTTGGAGAGATTTTCACTATAGGGCACGTGCGCTTGCCAGACAGACAGATAGACATAGAGACAGAAAGCGAGAAATCACCCCCCAGAGGGGATGGGTCACGTCGCAATCCCTTCTCCTCCATTCTCCTCTCGGGATCTTGGGCACGCACGCACACGCGCCCGGCGTGAGTTTTAAGCCACCGGGTCCAGGACGCGAACTGCGGTCGACTACGTGGGAGTCCAACGACATAGCCATTACGCTAACTGCTGGTTTCCACCCTTTTTTTTTTTAAGATTTTTTTTTATTATTATTATTACTACAGAGTGTGTGTGCTTGCTGGAAAAAGACAGAGTCAGGGAAAAGGAAAGTGAGAAATCACCCCCTAGGAGGGATGGCCATTCCACAGTCCTTTCTTCTCCACTCTCCTCTCAGGATTTTGGGTCTGCACACATATGCACCTGGCATGATTTTCAAGCCACTGAGTCTAGGACTTGAACTGTGGATAGTCATGTAAGTAAGAGTCTAGCACTTTAACCACCATGCCACCTGCTGGCCTCCATGTCCAACACTCTTGCTAGGACTCCAACCAGCCCTAGTACACAAACACAGCCTGGCTACATGGTGTACATAAGCTCTCAGATGTTTGCTGAATTAATCCAAGACCACACACTTGACTCAGTTCCCTCCTCAAGCCACATCAACTACTGCTCCAGTTTGGAGCCCATTTGCTGCCTAGTTTGGGGCCATGAACTCCAAAGAGACTCAGGAGTTCTGGATAAGTAAGGGCCCATGTTACGATTCCCCTGTGGGAGGGGTGGGACATATCTGCCTAAGTGGGAACTGAAGCTTCCAGTGAAGAACTAACCTCAGAATTGGCAGCAGTGAGCATGGTGGGTGGGGGACCCATAGGTTTTATTACGAAATTATCTTTTTGATGTCTCAAGGAGGATGGAAATCATTTTCAATGCAAACTTCTCATTGAATTCTGCAGCTGTGAAAATAATAACTCCTTCAAGTGCCCAGGGCTTCAAAGAAATCCAGGTGGAGCTGATCAAAATCAGACAGGGAAGCTAAGAGATTAATTTCCCCAGTCCCTCCTTTCTGCAGCCATGTCGGGCTCAAGGCAGAGTGCTGTCTGAGTCAGAATTCCCAACAATGCCGCTGTTGGCCTTCCACGTGGGTTCTCCTGGGCTTTTGCCTTCTTAGTAGGAAGAATGGGATGGAATTCCTAGTTACTTTTGAGACTGGGGCAAGATCTCCAGCCCACTCTCTGCCAATTCAGCCACCACATAATACCCCTTAGATGGGGACTTGCAAACTCAGATGCCTACAGAGCCCAGGCAGGTTATGCAAGTGAGAAAAACTGAGCTACTATATGATGCTATATACACGGGGTCTTCAAAAAGTCATGGAAAATACATGCCAACCAGGGCCCTTTTTTTTTTTTTTTTTTTGGAGAGATTTTCACTATAGGGCACGTGCGCTTGCCAGACAGACAGATAGACATAGAGACAGAAAGCGAGAAATCACCCCCCAGAGGGGATGGGTCACGTCGCAATCCCTTCTCCTCCATTCTCCTCTCGGGATCTTGGGCACGCACGCACACGCGCCCGGCGTGAGTTTTAAGCCACCGGGTCCAGGACGCGAACTGCGGTCGACTACGTGGGAGTCCAACGACATAGCCATTACGCTAACTGCTGGTTTCCACCCTTTTTTTTTTTAAGATTTTTTTTTATTATTATTATTACTACAGAGTGTGTGTGCTTGCTGGAAAAAGACAGAGTCAGGGAAAAGGAAAGTGAGAAATCACCCCCTAGGAGGGATGGCCATTCCACAGTCCTTTCTTCTCCACTCTCCTCTCAGGATTTTGGGTCTGCACACATATGCACCTGGCATGATTTTCAAGCCACTGAGTCTAGAACTTGAACTGTGGATAGCCATGTAAGAGTCTAGCACTTTAACCACCATGCCACCTGCTGGCCTCCATGTCCAACACTCTTGCTAGGACTCCAACCAGCCCTACTACACAAACACAGCCTGGCTACATGGTGTACATAAGCTCTCAGATGTTTGCTGAATTAATCCAAGACCACACACTTGACTCAGTTCCCTCCTCAAGCCACATCAACTACTGCTCCAGTTTGGAGCCCATTTGCTGCCTAGTTTGGGGCCATGAACTCCAAAGAGACTCAGGAGTTCTGGATAAGTAAGGGCCCATGTTACGATTCCCCTGTGGGAGGGGTGGGACATATCTGCCTAAGTGGGAACTGAAGCTTCCAGTGAAGAACTAACCTCAGAATTGGCAGCAGTGAGCATGGTGGGTGGGGGACCCATAGGTTTTATTACGAAATTATCTTTTTGATGTCTCAAGGAGGATGGAAATCATTTTCAATGCAAACTTCTCATTGAATTCTGCAGCTGTGAAAATAATAACTCCTTCAAGTGCCCAGGGCTTCAAAGAAATCCAGGTGGAGCTGATCAAAATCAGACAGGGAAGCTAAGAGATTAATTTCCCCAGTCCCTCCTTTCTGCAGCCATGTCGGGCTCAAGGCAGAGTGCTGTCTGAGTCAGAATTCCCAACAACGCCGCTGTTGGCCTTCCACGTGGGTTCTCCTGGGCTTTTGCCTTCTTAGTAGGAAGAATGGGATGGAATTCCTAGTTACTTTTGAGACTGGGGCAAGATCTCCAGCCCACTCTCTGCCAATTCAGCCACCACATAATACCCCTTAGATGGGGACTTGCAAACTCAGATGCCTACAGAGCCCAGGCAGGTTATGCAAGTGAGAAAAACTGAGCTACTATATGATGCTATATACACGGGGTCTTCAAAAAGTCATGGAAAATACATATTATGAAAAAACTACACATAGACTTCAAAATTTTTGCACCAAAATAAGCTCAATTTAATTCCATTTTTTCCCCAAGTTTTTGAAATTCCCTCATAGGAACTGCCAGCCTCACTGTTAGGAAACGAGGAGTGGGGGTGGGGGACTGCGGGGCCTGGAGGATGTATATCCTATATCAAGGGGCTGCCATCACTTGTTTCTGGTGGAGCCTTACCAGGAACTCTTCCAGTTTTTCAAGAGAAGACAGATGTCCATGTTTCATGTAAAATCTCCTGACTTAAAAAAAAAAAATTGTTGGGCCAGCCTGCAGTGCTGGATCTCATATGGCCTACTACATGGCTCAAGCCCCAGACCTCGTGTCTTCAGAAACATATTGGGTATGAGTGTGTGTGTGTGTGTGTGTGTGTGTGCCTAAAATCCCAAAGGAAGGGAGAAATGGAGAAGAAGGGATTACAGCATGATTGTGCCCCATGGGGGAGTACTTTCTCGCTTTCTGTCTTTCTCACTCTCTCTCTCCAGTAATCACATGCCCTCAGGCAAATTTTTTTTAAAAAACTGTTGACGACTACTTAATCTTTTTTTTAGAAAGATTTTTTGCTGTAGGATGTGTGTGTTCACCAAAGAGACAGAGAGACAGAAAGTGAAAAATCACCCCTCAGGGGAGATGGCCATGCCGCAATCCCTTCTCTTCCATCCTCCTCTCGGGATTTTGGGTAGGCACACACACAGGCCCAGCGTGAACTTTAAGCCACCAGGTCCAGGACTCAAACCGTGGTTGATTCTGTGGGAGTCCAGCGACGTAACCATTACACCATTTGCTGGTCCCAATCACTACTTAAATTTAAACTAATAGGCAGGCCAAGTATTCTGCGATCTCTGCTTTACAGCTTCAATCCCTGGTTTCCTAAAACCTTCAAAGACATAGAAGAATCTACCTGGTAGGGACTCCAACATCAGTATGTGAATAGACTGTGACTTTATGGCAGTTAGTGAGAGTAGAAAAACCTACATAAGGGGGAGAGAAAGCAGAAGGGACCACCATCTGTAACCCCAACCAACCAAGCCATCAGACCAGGAAGTACCAGCCAAGGAAAGAGAAGTCACAGAGGGCGGTACCCTGAGACATCAGGAACCATCCGTCAGTAGACTCAAATCCCCCAGGTTGGATAATCGTGGGCAAGTCCCTTAACTTCTCTGAACCTTGTTTTCTTTATCTCACATAATAAAAGCTTGCTTTTGTAAAATATGTGGAAACCATAAAGTTCTCTCGAATGCATTTGCCTCTTAAACAGCTCTGTGAGTCATGCAGGCAAGGACCTTAAGTTCCAGGTACATGGCTAAGGTACTTGGGGCGTGTAAAGGTTGATACACATTTCATTTAGCCCCACTTGGATGACTACCAGGCCTTCCAAACTAATTGCCCAGGCCCAGCTGTGGTGGGGCAGGCAGTAAGGTACCACTGCACGGCACCACATGGTTGGCCCGGGCTTGGTTCTTAGTCGATCTGAAACAAGCCTGGCGCAGTGGCTCCTGCCTGTGGCCCTCGCTTGCTGGAAGGCTGGGGCAAGAGATCACAACATACCAAGACTCTGTCAATACTTCTCTCTCTCTCTCCCTCTCACACAAGTACTCACTCTCACCCTCTCTCATGAAAAACAAAATGAACAAACAAAAAATCTTCATTGGCTAAAATAGAACCTGCCCCAAACTTGTTCTTCTCCCAGTCTTCCCTATTTCAATACGGAATACCATCAGAATCCTCAGTCCAAAGAGTTAGAAGTCACCCAAAGCCCTCTCTTGTGTCCTCACACCCCATGCCTAGCCAGCCTGTCCCATGGCACTACCTGCAGAACATAGAACGAAGCCACAGCCACTGTGCTGCCCTGCTCTAAGCCCCCATTGTCTTTCAGGCTGCTGCAATGGCCCTGAGTTTCCTGCTGCTTCCCTTGACCTCATGGCAACCAGAGAGCTCTTGGAATGATGGAAACCAAATTGCCTCACCCAGTTCTGCTGCTAGCACTCCACAGCTTCTCATCACACTCAGGAGAAGTCCTAAGACCTTGCCATGGCCCAAATCATATAGTACTAAATCACATAGCTCCGGCAATCTGACAGACATACCCTCCTCCCCTCACCCACACATGGCTCACTACGCTGCAGCCACACCAGTGTGTTTGCTGCTAACACTGTGGAATGAATTAAGATGGTTTCCTTTGGAGGCCTGGGCCTGGCTATTTCCTTAGCTTAGGAGAGCCTTTATCCGGACCTGCAGGAGTTGTCTCCTCCTTATCACTCGAAACTAGTGCACAGATCCGTTCATCGTAGCGACAGGCCTTCCCTGAGCATCTAATGTTGGGCCCTGTCTGGTCATCGTCACATTGCTTTTTGTTGTTGTTGTTCTTTGCTATTGAGTCTGTACACTTGCCAGAGAGAGACTGACAGAAGGAGAGGGGAAAGTGAAAAATCACCCCCAGGTGGGGGCAGGGAAAGGGTTGATGAGCACACTGCAATCCTTTCTCCTCTACTGTCTGCTCGAGATTTTGGACACATACACACACACACACACACACACACACACAGGTGACCATTGTGATTCTCATATCCCCAGGTCTGAGACTTGAACCATGAAAGTGGCCATGTGGGCTCTAACTCCTTAACCTCCATGCCACCTGCTGGCCCAAACATTGTCCTCTCTATTTGTTCATAGTACAGACGCTCCTCCATTATAAGTTGAAAATATCATTGAGCCAAAAATGCATTTAACACACCTAACCTACTGAACATCATAGCATAGCTTCACCTTCCTTAAATGTGCTCAAAACACTTGCATTAGCCTACAGTTGGCAAAATCATCAAATACAAAGCCCATTTTATAATAAAGTGCTAAATATCTCATGAAATACACTTATCTCTTAAAATTTTGCCAGAGAGCTCATGTGCTCTCCAAAGAGAGACAGAAGAAGAGGTAGAAAGCCACCCCCCACAGGACATGATCACACTGCAATTCCATCTCCTCCATCTCTCCCTCCTTTCAGGGTTTTGGACACACATGTACTCATGCCCAGCATATTTCTCAAGCCACTGCTGGGTCTTGGACTTGAACTGCATGGTCAGCTACCAAGCCACAGGCTGACCCTCGTTTAATTTATTGAATTTTGAACTGAAAGTGAAAAACAGAGGCTAGCAGGTGGCATAGTGGTTATGGTGTTGGGCTCCCACATGGCTGAAAGTGATTCAAGTCCTGGTCCCAGAGGCTTGAAACTCACACAAGGTGCGTGGGCATGTGTGCTCAAGATCCCTAGAGGAGGATAGAGGAGAAGGGATTGCAGCATGGCCATCCCCATTGGGGGGTGATTTCTAGCTTTTCATCTCTCTGTCTCTCCAGCGAGCGCACACACCCTAAAGCAAAAATCTCTTGAAAAAAATAAAAGAAGGACCAGCAAATGCATAGCAGTTATATCACTGGACTCCCACGTAGTCGACTATGATTCCAATCCCAGACCCAGTGACTTGAAAATCATACCAGGCACGTGTGTGTGTGTACATGTCCAAGATCCCAGGAGAAGAATGGAGGAGATGGGATTGTGGTGTGGCCACCCCCCAGAGGATGATTTCTCACTTTCCCTCTCACTGTGTCTGTCTGTCTCTCTCTCCAGAGAGCACACATGTCCTAAGGCAAACACTTCTTTAAAAAAAAAAAAAGAAAGAAAGAAAGAAAAAGAAAAAAAAAAAGAAACAGAATAGTATTGCACTGCATATCACCAGCTTGGGAAAAGACCAACCAAAATTCAAAGTATGGTTTCTACTGAACACTTACCGCTTTCACTGTAATGTAAATGACAAATATTGTAAGTCAGTCATCCTAAGTCAGGGTCTCTTGGTACTTCTCTACCACTGTCTGAAATTCTTACTTATCCTTATGTTTCCTTGTTTATTGTGCATCTCTCCCACCAGAACAAAAGCCCAGTGAGATCTAGACCTCACCTGTCTTGCTCAGCGCTGAATCCCTAGGCCTGGCCTGACTGAGCATCTCATGAATAGTGTTTGACTGAATAAATGGAGGACGCACACAGTGGCAATGCTAGGTCTGAACCCACATCTATGCCCCCCTCAATTCCGTCCCTTTCCCTCTAGCTCACAAAGGACTGAGAAACCTGAGGTTCCTTCCGAAATGCTCACCCGAGGACCAACCCACCTCTTCGCAACAGCCACTCACGCACGGTGTCAGTGACATCAAAGGACAGCCACTCAGCAGTGCCCCGCGTGGGCAGATTCTTGCCACCAATGTAGCGCTGTTTGGCGATGTGCTCATCTGGCCGGAGTATCTACGGGGCAGAGAAGGGAATAAGACCCCAATGATGGGACAGAGGACCACAGGACGTGTCATGAGGCAGGAGGACGGGCGAGGGGAGTGATAGGAAGCCACAGACTTCCAGATGGAATTTCATCCCTTTGAGCACCATAGGTAACTCTTAATCCTGCTTTTATTTTTTCTTTTAGATCTTGGCCATAGCTTACATGTGCTCACCTAAGAGACAGAGAGAGGGAAAGTGAGAAATCACCCCCCAGTGGGGATAGCAACCCACCCCAATCCCTTCTCCTCTCTTCTCCCCTCTGGATTTTGGGCACACATGCATGTACACTCTGTGTGTTTTCAAAGCCCCTGGGTCTGGAACTCAAACTGCAGAGTTAGCCATTTGAGATCCAGCGCCTTAACCACCACCCCACCTGCTGGCCCTCTTGTTCTTTTTTTAAAGTTTAATTATTTATTTCTTCTGTGAGCATATGAGACAGAGAAAGAAAGATGAAACACCTCCATCAGGGTCTCCATGCCACAATCCACATCCAGCTTCAGCCACCCCAAATTGTGGGCAAGCATGCACCAACATACTCAGGGAGGTCTGCGGACTTGAACTGGAAACATTAGCATGTGGGATTACCTTGCGGAGTGTACCGTTATAGCACTATGCCACCATCTGGGCCTCTTAATCCTCTTAAGGACAGATATGTTGGTAGATATGGAAACTAAGGCTCAGGGGAAACCAGGATTCAAACCCAGGTCTGCTGAACTCTGTGTCCAAGGAGCCCTGATGGGACAAAGGAGTTGGCTTTCCTATCTGAGCAGTTCTGTTCTGGATGGGGTTTACCTGGAAAAGCTCGATCCTCTGCTCATTGCGCTTGGAGCTGGGGTTCGGTATCCGCAAGACCCGGAATTCTGCCCGGAACAGGTTGGTTCCATTTTGCTCCACTGAGGACACGTTGAAGCGAAAAACCTTGGAAGTGATTCCTTTGGGGCAAACTGCAAGCTCGTCTAGGGGATAAAGCAGTGGGGAGAGACACAGCACAAGTGAGACCCACAGGAACACTTTCCCCAAGTGGCCACAGACTCACCTGTGACCATGCTAGAGCTGTGATGCCTCACATCTGAAGGTGGAGTTAGGAGAAGGATTCTTGGTGGCCCTAGAATCACTCACAGTCCTAAGAATGGGTGGCCTCTTTGCCACACAAACTCAGAGTCATGAGGCCTCAGAGCCTCAGGACATGGCACTAAAGTCTGGCCAATGAAATGCAATGTCCTCTCCTCCCATTGCCTTGACACCCTAACTCTAATAAATGTTCCAGTCTGTTTTTTTATATATATAAAATGCAGATTATCAAAAGATATCAGTGATTCTCCTTTGCGGTTTACTGATTTTGCAGCTAATTGACCCATGCATGTGTTTGGGCATTCACTTATACGTGTATTGAGCAAATACTGTGTGTCAGTCGCAGTACTAACACAGTGCTACACCATAAGCACAGCACCTGCCTCCCAGGGGACTAGTATCCAGGGCAGGTTAATGCATGGACTCAAATAACAAAACCAGAAAGGAAAAAGTCTTTGGAAAGTCCAGAAGTTGCTGCAGAAAATCAAAGGATGTAAAAGGCAAGGAACATTTTATGGAAGACGTGATCATCAATTCTGGGCCCAGTGGGCAGAGAGTTTGGGGAGAGAGGGGAAAGAAATTTAACGTGGAAGGACTGCCGGAAGCAAAGTCAGGAGGAGAAAAAAAATGTAAGTAAGAGGGACTAAAGAGCAAGGCTAGAGCTGGGTGGAGAAAGATCAAGACCGGAGTCCACCTGTAGGGTGGCCTCTATGTCAGTGCATTGGAGTTTATCCTGCTCACAGCAGGGAGCCACAGAAAGTGTTTGAGCAGGGCAGTGACATAATCGACGCAGTGTTTTAGACCTGATGAAGCAGGGTTTGGATGGCAAAGAGCCCACATCCTGAGCCTGGCAGGCACACACGTTTCATCAGACTGAGCTGGTCTGTCACCACTAGCTCTTAAGGGTCTCTTTCCTTGGCAGTACATGCTATGCCAGCCTGTGCTGGCCCGCTGGCCTCTTCATCCCTGTCCACAAGACTGAAGATGGCAAATGCTCTTCCCACTCCTCGGAGCCAGATAAAGGAAAGAGAAAGATCCTGTCTTTTCTCCGTGCCTGTACACTTTACAACTTCAAGGTCTGAGCAGCATTCACACCCAGAGAAAAACTTACTACACAAATGGTAACAATAGCCAGAACTTGAAATTTAAGCTCCTAGACCCAAATTCCACGCATAATGGACATGGCTGGAATGAGCTCATAATCACCCCGAGGGGTAGCTTAGGAAGTCACGGGCAGGGCGGGAAGGATCAGAGGCCTGGAAACAAGCAAATGTGCTACTGATCTTTAGGAAAGGATGAGTGAGTGTTTCTGGAAATTACCATCTGGTGGGCCTGACACTGGCTTTCAGAAAATTAATGGAACAGATGTTAGGAAAACAAATGTGTGAATGGCGACTAATGAAGCCCTGATAATAATTGGCTTTGAAAGACAAATGCTGCCAACTAAACCATTAAACTATTCCCTAAAGCATTTCAGATAGAACCAAAGAGAGGAATCAGTTTCCTAGCCTGTAACCCTCTGGTCATGGGTAAGCTACTTGGATGACAACCTTCCGAAGAACTGATAGAGTTGAGTCTTGAAGGAGCTGCCATCAATATGGCTTCTATTATACTAGCACCACCTGTAACTGTCTGCAAGGGGGAATAAAAGGCAAGTCCGTGCAGTGTGCACCTTGCTGTGAAGGGAGAAGGAGGACAGAAAACGGCACCTGCCAGAGAGGAGAGTCCAAGTGGAGTCAGGCAGTGATGAGGAAAGCAAAGAGCCAAGACAGTTCAAAGACACCCTGGAGTCCATCCCTCCTTGGTTTCTTCCAGCCAGCAACCATTTATCATCATTTCTCTGTTCTCTAAGATGCACTCCTTCTTGGTGAAACATTTAGGGTGGTTCAGGAAGGAGGTGGACAGGGTTTTTCTATCACCAGAATCTATAGACTTCCAATAGAGTTAGAAAGGACATTAGGAATCACCTAGTGGAACCATCTCTTCAGATGAAGAAACTAATGTGCAGAAGGGTCTTGGCCAGGGTCACACATTCGTTAGTTGACACGAGCAAACTGGCACTAGCAAGCAAAGGTTGGACACACCTATTAGTGATTAAAATAGAAGTGTCTGAATGAGAAGAGAAAGAGTAAATATAATCTTCTTAATAAGTCCACTGAATGATAATGATGTTTTCAATGATCTGTTGGATGCATCAGAGTGTAAATAAATCAACCAAATGTAATAGATTAACACCACCTTACATTTTACAGAGCTTTCACTAACTCATCTGATCTTAAGACAACCCTTTAGGAAAATATGTAGCATTTATCTTTCTACAAACTGAGCAACAGAAAAGCGAAATTACTTTCCAAGGTCACTGAACTACTAGGTGGCAGAGGCTGGATTTGAATCCAGGTCTTCTGAACACACCTCACTTATTGGCGCAGGGGTTCTGGAAGTTGGAGGGGGTAGAGGATCATGTTGTAATGAGTTGGTTTCATCAAGAAAATGTGGCAGGGTTCTAGTCAATGGGCCTCGATGACCAATTTCTGCCTCAGACAAGAGCCACTTGCCAGTCCGTTTGGGGGTTCTCAACCCATACTTCTGCAAAACATCAGTATTATTGAGCACTTGACTAGGGGTTCCATCTTTCCAAATTAAATTATAAACAAGTTTTTCCATCACACAGAAAAATATATATTGATGGATGCCATTTTCTTTGCTTTAGGAGCAGAAAACAAGCACAGAATATTTGTGGAGCATATTTATGGAAAAAACAGAAAAAAAAAAAAAACCCACTAAGTCCAGCTTACTCGCGGTTTCGCTTTCCGTGGTTTCAGTTACTCACGGTCAGCTGCGGTCTGAAAATATTAAATGGAAAATTCCAGAAACAAACACTTCATACGTTTTAAATTGAGCACCATTCTGAGTAGCGTGATGAAATCTCATGCTGTCCTGCCCAGGACGTGATTCATCCTTTTGTTCAGCATATCCACACTACACTGATGTACACGACATGCTTTTTCGTCACTTAGCAGATTCGGTTATCAGACTGAAAAAAGGTAGTAGAGGATTTAGTACTAGTCACAGTTGCAGGCATCCACTGGGAAGTTTAGAATGTCTCCCCAGCAGTTGAGGGGGATGGGATGACCGTAGCTGACCGTGTTCAGTCAACAGCCTCTTAAAACATTTGCAGACACCTGGGCTGCCAGGTGTGCCTTTGCTCACACATTTGTCACTTGGTCTCCACAGGGGATTGGTTCCAGGGTCCCCAAGGACACTAAAATCCACAGATGCTTGAGCCCCTTATAAAAATGGCATAGTATTTGCACATAACGTACAAATAGCCTACAAAGAAAGTATACTTTAAATCATCTCTAGATTACATGTAATACCTAATACAATGCTGATGCTGTATAGGTAGTTCTGTATTTTTAAATTTTGTATCATTTTAATTGTTGTGCTCTTTTTATTGCACTTTTAAAAAATATTTTTGATCTTTAGTTGGTCGAATCCACAGATGCAGAACCCACAGATACAGAACCACTGGACATGGAGGGCTGACTACATACATAATTTCTACCGGCTCCAGCGAAGGGACTCCATCTATCAGTGTAGCTGTACTTCCCTACCTTGGCTATATATTAGTCACCTGGAAAGTAGCGTTTGGAAAAAAAATAACTTTATTTATTCACTTCCTCCATGAGAGAGACAGAGAGAGATTGAGAGAGCACCTCAACAGGGTCTCAATGCCATGACTCACCCCTAGCTTTCCTCCAGCCCCAGATCACAAGCAAAAGTGTGACTGCCATACTCAGGGAGGTCACACTTGAACTGTAAACTTTTCATGTGGGTTTGCCTTGCAGACCATCGCATTCCACACTCTACCACCTTTTGGTACCACCTGGAGAGCTTTAAAAACAGAAGATGAGGGGCCATCAAATGGCATGGTGGCTAAGGCACTGGACTCCCTCATGGTTAACCAGGATTCCAGTCCCAGACCTAGCAACTTGGAAATCAAGCTGGGCATGTGTACATGCATGTCCCAAATCCCAAGAGGAGAATATAGACGAATTGCAGCATGGCCATTCCCCCTGGGGGTGTGTGTGTGTGTGTGACTTCTCACTTTCCCTCTCTGGCAAGCGCACATGCTCTATGATTAAAACCAAAACCATAACTAAACAGAAAAACAGAGGATCCCTGGATCCACTCCCCAGCTGATTCTAACTGCAGTAGAGTGGGTGAGTCCACAGCATCTTAAAAAAAGATCTCCAAGGGCCAGCAGATGGCGTAATGGTTACACCACTGGACTCGTGTGTAGTTGGCCGCACTTCACGTCCCGGACATGAGGGCTTAAAACGCACGCCAGGTGCATGTGCATGTGTGCTCAAAATTCTGAGAGGAGAATGGAGGAGAAGGGATTGTGGTATGTCCATACCCCCTAAGAAGGTGATTTCTTGCTTTCTGCCTCTCTGTCTCTCTCTGTCTCTCTGGTGAGCACACACACGCTCTAGCAAAAATCTCTCAAAAAAAAAAAATCTCCAGATGATTCTTCATGTGCAGCCAAGGTTGAAAACTACAGTGCATATAATGCTCTGCAGAGGGTACCATGGCTCCCAGGTGTTCTGGAAACTTGAGAAAGCACTACTTTAATGGTTTAAACTTTGCATGAATTGACCTTTAAATGAATTAGACATGTTGCTTAGTCAATGCATCAACTTAACACTTTTGGAATTGGAAGCCCATAAACATTTCAAGCCCATGTTAAAAGTTGGGTGATTTCACAGAAAGGTCCAGATTTTCTGCCCTTCTGGAAAATAGTTAGATCTAGTCAAGCTGGACCCACACTCCTGAATGCAAAAATCATCAGGAGCTGAGCAGTGGCTGCCTCTTTGAACAGGACACGTGGGCTCCAGGTCCCCTCGGCTCTCCTGCCACACACACCCTCCTTCCCTTCCTTCCTCCATCACCCCAAGGTCAAGTGTCCTGTGCAGCTTATCATGCTGCTTGTGCCATGGCTTTTCTTCTAGATCATTTGTATTACTTGCCTTGCCTCTGTAGGCACCTGTTTGAAATCCTCTGGTCTGGGAAGAGGTATTCCTCTATTCGCTGAGTCTTAACTTTTAGTGTGCTTAAGAGTAGATAAAGAGCATGTTGAAAATGCAGATTCTGGGCCAGCCCATGGCCTAGTGATTATGTGAGCTGGATCCCGCATGGTCGAATGCGTGTTTCAAGTCCCAGATCTGAAGGCTTGGGAAACACACCAGGCACATGCACATGCATGCTCCAAATCCCAACAGGATGGAGAAATGGAGAAAGGATTACAGTGTGACCTTTCCTCATGGGGCCATGCTTTCTCTGTGTGTGTGCGTGCCTTTCTCCAGTGAGCACATGCACTCTCTGCCAAATAAAATTTAAAAATTCCTTTTAAAAAGAAAGGAAGAAATGATAAAAGTGCATATTCCCCAGGACCTTGCCCTCCAGAAGTGCTGATTATATCCGAGTGGGAAGGGGCCTCCCTCTAGGTCATACCTGGAGAAGCACTGCTCTGCTCTCTGGAGGGCACTTAGGGAAAATGAGTTCTTTCCATTGTGAAATGTCTTTTAGTTTTTTAGTTCTATACTTAGCAGTAAACAAAAAAAAAAGTACTGAGTTTTCTCTTTGCTCAGAAACTCTGGGATCACTGGTTGCCCTTGGTTGAAGACAGGAGTCTCCCACAAGAAGCAGATCATCACAAATCAGAAGATAAAATGACACCTACACCATTGATGTTTGGGTAAGGACGATGACAAAAGAAATGAAAAGGTCTGGGTCCTGCTATCCTGTCCCCTACTTCCTCCCCCCCCCCAATACAACAAGGTCTCTGAGGATCAGAGAACATCTCTGCTTACTTCCCATAGCAAAGTCCTGGGGAATTATAAGAAACCAACGGTCTTGCCCACACTCCCCAGCTGAGATTCTGAAATCCTCTTTTATAATTATGAAATTCTTCCAGCTGAAAGGAAGTTTAGAGACCATCTCTAATTTACAGGTAAAGAAACAGAGGCTCTGAAAGGTGACTTTTGCATGGTAGTGAGTACTTAACCTGCTTGAAGCTCCTCATTATATAAAGAGAATCTTGAGTTGAATTGGGGAGAATGTTTGTGGCAGTGTAACTCTTCTACTCCCCCCTCCAAATAAGCAGAGTGAAAGAACAAATCCAGTTATCCTTATGCCACCTGCCACCTGGATGATAAGATTACACCTGTCCCCTCCTGCAAGGTATAACAAGTGAGTCATTTACGTGGTAAATCTAAGTTCTCTTGGTGCTTACACATTAAAGGGAGGGCTTTATGTGTGTATTTTAATACACACTCATGCGGAATGTCTAAGTCAGGGTCTCTGCTGTGTTCGGACAAGCTACTTAACTGATGATCCTCATCTCAGTTTTCTCGTCTGTAAAACAGGGATGTAAGAGTAGTTTACGACAGGGCAGAGCCAGAGGATGGGCCTTGTCTGCTCCTGCCTTGGTGCCCTTTCTGCTCCTCCACTGAGAATCATTCCCTCTCTCACTTTCATCTCCAGGGTCACCTGTCTCCTTGCCCAAGCCCCTACTGTTACTTCTCTCCCAGTGCCTGTCCACTGGGTAATGGAGGTGGCTGGGAGTGATGAAGTGATCTTATCACCTCCCAGCAGAAACTCTGGCACTGACACCCTGTCCCAGCACAGACCCAGTGAACACCGGTCTGCCCTCACCCAAGCTGTTGCAGATGGCTCTTTGCTCTCGCCCAGCATGTGTTGGGTGTTTGCATCTGCCCATGGCCACCGTGCAATTACTGTGTGTGATGCATCTGCCTTCCTGGGGTGGGCTCAGGTCCATGGGTCTGTTCAGCTTCTGGGTCACCTCCAGCAGCTGCAGAGAGTCTGGGCCTGCTTCCTGTTTGTACCTGTGAGCCTTTACAGGATTGCTTGTGTCCCAGGGGGCTGACCCCTCCTCAGCATCCCCAATAGCATCCTGCCCACTATGCCAGGTTGCCTTGGGCCAGACCACTGTTCCGTGGCCCTGCCCCCATCTGCTGCAGTTGTAAGGTCTTGGTGCTGCAGCTCCCAAGCTGCCAGGTATCCGTGGGGCCTTTTCCCAAGGCCATCCACTATGTGTACCCCTAGTCTCTATACAAATGTCCACTCACACCTGTGTGGGCTTGCATCCATCTGGATCATTCATTCTCAGCTTGGGATTCCAGGCTGGATGGGCCTTGTGACTCAGAATCCCTCCTCCTTGGGACTCCTCCTCCTGACCCGGACATTAAGGTCCGAGTCCCACCCTCTTGCCCTGGCTCTCTGCAGATCTCTCCTGTGGCCTCAGATTTCTACCTTCCTCCAACATTTGAAGCCACTCTCCCCTGCACTGGTGGGTGCCCAGGGAGGTGAGGGCTCAGACATCCTGTTACTGAGTGGCTCTGGGAATAGTGGGCCCCTATCAGACCATGAGCTAGCCCCACCCAGAGGACCCGGGCAAGGAGCATTGCTGGGCCTCGGCCTCCAGCCTCTGCCTCACACGGTAGCCACATCCTAAGGAAGGGCGCTCCAGGCAGCCACAGGAAACTGGAGTGGAACCCCTCGCCAGCAACCACAGGCTGCTCCGCCTGGCCCTGGCGTGGACCAGCTCCAAATGGGGCCTTTTGCACCTTCAGCCAGAGCTGGCCTGTCTACCAGCACCCATCCCTGTTCTTTCTCTGCAGCCTGGTTCCTTTCAACTCCGCTGTTCACCCTGCTGACCACCCTCACTCTGCAGGCTCCCTAGCACCCTCCCACACACCTCCCAGGTATGCCTACTGAGGTAGTCAGGGCGGCGAGGACACCTGCTGGTAGGAAAAGCAAACAGACTGCTCCCAGAGCCTCTGGCCCACGAGTGGCTCACATTCCTCCTTCCTGGGCTGTCAGTTTCTCAACATCTGCCAAATTTCTCTCTCTTGTATTGAGGTTTTTTAAATCCCCATTCAGTAAACACACATGACTTCCACACGTGTACAAACACACACAGACGGCTCACCCAGAAGCCGCCCAGCTCCTCTGCACCGCCGGGAGCCTCCTGGGAAGACACGCTCCCAGACACACACCCGTGCTGCCCCCACAGCCCCCTCCCACCCTCTCTCTCATGACACGCAGACACAAAGGGCTGCCAGCCCTCCTCGACACATCCAGAGCCACAGCCCTGCTTGCCCCGAGTCCACCAGCCTGGAAGACACCCATTTTGAGCATGAGTCTATGTACTGTACACCAGACTGCACAGTGCCCTAAAGTATTTGTGCATGTGAACATGCATGCATGCCCTCCCCCAACACACAGACACACACACACACACACACACACACACACTCTCACACATACACACTCAGACACACACACGGTCCATATGGGTCACGCATTGGAGGGGGTGGTCAACTCAAGGGCCCAGGCAGCTTGAACCTGTCTCTCGCCTGAACTCCCAAAAGGTTGACAGACATTAATTTGGGGCAGGTACTCTTCTTCCTTACTGGAAAAACTGAAATGGAGACGTGTCACAATGAGTTGTGAAAAGCAGGGAGAAGACTGGTCTCCAGACTCAGGACCATAAGGGTTCTCAAGGGAGCTGGCTGGCCCCTTTATGGCACCCATATGCTTATGGTTACCAATGTGATCGCGTGTGCCAGAACCCATATGTTTCCCTGGATGGCGCAATGTAATTCCCAATTAAAGTCAGTCAAGGATGTGATGTGAGTGCAGCAAGCTGCTCAGTTCCAGGGCTCCTGGCCTCCCAGAAGCGCCCAGCCTTTACCAGAATGGTTGTCTCCTTTCCCACCCACCTATCCAGCCCTGGCTGCACATCACACCTCCTGAGTCCCGGTGTTGGTAGAGCCAGGGCCCTCTGCTGTGTGGCCACCACTAGGCCACTCTCCATGAACTCCTTACTGTAGTTCAGACCCATCAGAGCAGACATCCCAGCGAGAATTTAGACTTACTGTGCTCGGCCAGTCCCTGGATCATGTCGAATTTATGGATCTCTTTGGCATAGTATTCCGACTCGGTGTTTTCCTGAGTGCAGGCTTCCTCCCTCTCCCCGTGCATCTCCTCCAGCAGCTCCCGGGTGCTGTTGTAAAGGGCCAGGACGTGATAGGGGACGTAGGTCATCACCGATGGCTCAGGGGGGCTGGTGAGCCTGAGCTTGCTCAAGATCTGTCCCCTAATGGCTTCCACCCTCTTCTTCTTGATGCGGCCAAAGTCCAAGGTGGTGCAAGTGGACAGAGAGAGGCTGACCGTGGCAAAGTTCAGCACTCAGCAGGGCCAAGACCACCAGAGCCCTTTGCAAGTGCATCTTCATGGGCGAGCCGGGAAGAGAGGCCAGGGGGGCAGCGAGGCCTTGCGAGGAGGAGACCCCAGCAGACGTGCAGAAAGAGGGAGGAAAACCAGGCGGCCTCCCCAGATCCCAAAGACTGAGGCTTGGCAAGAAGGTGCATGAACTCACTGCACTGCGAGAGCTTCAGGACTTCCAGGAAGCGCTGGCAACCCTGGGACGAAGAAGCGGACTGTGTGCCTCGTAGCGCTGGGATTCTTGTCCATGTGTCTCAACAGGTTTTGTTGGGCTCTGACTCCCAGCAGGCCAGGTGGAGGGCAAGCAGAGGGCTGGGAGGGGAGGCAAGGCAGCTGGGAGTGGGAAGAGAGCTGCAATTTTTCCTTAGGTAAAAATAAATAGAACGGATATCTGATATTGCTCAACGCCGCTTGGTGATGGGGAGAAAGTGGGTATTTTAAAGGAGCAAAAAGACCTTAGATTGGTCCCAAAATCAAAATCCTTGTCTTGCCCTGAAGGAGAATAAGAAAAGAGAATGGAAAAGAAAAGGGAAAAAAATTGTTAAAAAAAAAAAAAGAAAGAAAAGAAAAGGTCGGATCACCAGTGAGTAGGTGGGGAGAGGCAGGGCTGGGCAGCTGCCGGCCCAGCTAAAGGTGGGGGCAGGACAGGACACACTTGTCTCTCAGGCACTCCATTCATGCTTTCTCTTTTGTTTACACTTCCTCGGGGGCTTTCTAAATGACTTTGTTCACGCTGCCTCTCGTCTTCATTGGCTGGGACGTGGGGTTATGTGCAATTGGAAGGCGGGGAGGACAGGCCTCTGGAGAGCAGTCCCAATAATCCACTTGGATGCCCGGGGTCACCCGCACCTCGGCTTGTCTTCTCCCTCGGCCATTGCTTCTGTCCCTTGCTGCTCTTTAAAAAGGAAAAAGAAAAAGAAAATAGAAGCCAGTTCACTGCATGCTGCTCCGGAAATCGGTTACTCCTCCTTTCGCATGCTGCTTCCCTATCTCTCGCCCCTCTTGCTCATTGCCTTGAACTTGGCTCTGCTTCTCTCTCCTTCTCCCTCTTCCTCTCGCTCCTCTCCCTCTCGCTCACACACACACATGCACACACACTGCTTTCTCTATTTCTCTCTGCTGAAATTTTATACCTCCCTCCCATGACGTCTCTGGCCTGGGGTGGGGGAGGGAGGGACCAGCGCACGCAGCCTCTTTTGCTGCACGATTTTAATGTTTTAAACAGGCACAGGAAAAGCCGAGCCTATTTGAAAAATACTTTGCGAGTCCTCTCATTCGACGTGGTAACTGAACTTTTTTTCCCCTCTTGGAGTTACTCCTGCTACACGTTGGCTGTTTTTCTGGAAAGTTACTCCACGGCCCCCTCCCTCCCTCCGGCTCCCCGAGCCCCTTCGCGCTCTCCCAGCTGTCAGTCCGTGCTCTCTCCAGCCCGGCTCTCGGTCCCTCCCTGCCCCCAGTCCCGGACCGCCCCTGGACCAGGCCGGACACCGGGCAGAGGCCGGAGAGGGAGTGGGGCCAGGCGGGGACGGCCGTGCCACCCTAGATCTGGGTGACGCCCGGCCTGCCGGCGGGTTGGAGGGTCGGATTCAGCTCCGCGGCGATCCTGGCCCCGATTCCTCATTGACAAGATTGGAGTCGGGCTGAAGCTTGGAGACGCTCCAGGGCAGTGAAAAATGGTGGCGTTCTCCGGAAGGTCGAGGGTGCCCTCTGGCGAGGCGAGGCCGCCAGTGAAGAGGCTCGGAGGGTCGGGAGCCAGGGAGGCGGAGAGGGCTGGGGGCGGGAGAAGGGGCAGCGGATCCGGCGAGAAAAACAAAACTGGCTGCCCGGGGGAATGGCCTCCCGCTCGGCCCCACGTGCGTCCAAGCGCACCCCCACTTGCCGAGCCGCAGCTCCCGAGCCGCTCTCTGCAGAAATGTCATCCAGATGTTCGCAGCCTCCTTCTTCGGCGAGGGCTCCGGGGGGAGCTGCGCCAACGAGCGCAAAGTCAGCAATTGGCCCGAGCCCATTTCCCAGACGGGTGAGGGGAAGTTTGCCCTGCGCTTTCGCTGCTCTCTCACCCTGAGCTTCTAGGTCTTTTCCCAGGAGCAGCCCAGCGAGGGCAAGGCACGGAGTTCTCCTTTCCCGCGTCTTTCTCAACGCGGGACTTAGGTCCGAACTGTCGATCGCTTCCCTGGGTTGGTGTCGATCCCCTCACTCCAGCCTTCCCGGACCCTTGCTCAGAGGTCTGGCTCCTGGGTTCCTTACTGAGGGGATGCTCACTGCATCCGCAGGACAGTTAGGGGATCACTTTACAGTTGAGGAAACTGAGACACGGAGCTGTTTTTCCAGGGCCACACTGCTTCTGAGTCCTGGAGGTGATATTTAACAAGGGCTGTCTGTTTGGGCGGGCTTTGTTTTTATTTGCATAACTAATGAGGAAACCTAAGGTGTAGAAACCCTAGAAATAACTTAAAGTCGCATAGCTGTGAGGTATCAATCAATGTTCGGGGTTTGGACACAACTTACCTCCTCTGCTGTACTGCCTCTGGAATTGGAGAATCGTTGGATATTTACTGAACACCAGGTACTGTTCTAGGCTCTGTGGCTGTGTCTGTGAGGAACAACAACAACAACAAAAACAAAAACCCTTGCCTGCATAGTTTTAGCGGCATCCGGAGAAAAGGCCCTGGCATCTGTATTTTTTTCTTTAATAGATTTTTGCCTTAGGGTGTGTGTGCTTGCGGGAGCGAGACAGAGACAGATAGGGAGGAAAAGTGAGAAATCACCCTTTAGAGGGGATGGTCACACCACAATCCCTTCTCTTCCATTCTCCCCTAGGGATTTTGGGCATGCATATATACCCAGTGTGTTTTTCAGGTTGCCAGATCTGAGACTCGAACCGCAGAATTGACCATGTGGGATCCAGTGCCTTAAACACCAACCACCTGCTGGCCCCAGCATCTGTATTTTTAAACCGACTTCCCATAGGGTTCAGGCAGGCAGCAAGGTTTGGAAGCCATTACTCCAGCTTCTGTCTGCCCAGGATGAGTTCCGTTCACCTTCTGTTTTCAGGATGTTGGGGAAGTGGGTGTGAAGGTCTGGAAACTGGTTATAAGTTGTTGGTGGTAAGGCTGTGTGTTTAGGAAAAATCGAAGATTAATCCCTTCTTGCTCATCTGGTGCCAAGAAAAGAGGAAACAGGGATTCGTTGGAGCCTATATTGCATCTGTCTTAGATTTTAGGCGACCAATGTTTCTTCATATTAAAATCTAATAGAAAAGTGTCACTGAGAAGCAGAGTTAATGAGTAAAGGATCTTAGAGATAATCTCAAAGGGGAATTACAAGGGAAGAAACTGAAGTCAGAGACGGCTCTGCCTGGCTACACAGGTAGTTTTCAGTAAAACTAGGTTAATAACGGAACTCATGTCTTATCCCAACCCATGTTCTACTGGCACAGGTATGCTGTCACACAGTACTACCCAGTAAGGGTGTGTGGAACAAATGTTATTGGTTATTTAAGAAACGTTTGCAACAGAATTTTAGGGATGCCACTCCAATTTCCAAGTCCTCACTTTTTTTTTTTTCTTTTAGTATGCCAAAGAGTATGTACATACACATGAGAGAAAGACAGAGAGGGGAAAAAAAAAAACAAAAACAACCAAACAACTGCCCTCACTCCCAATGGGGCCTGGTCATGTCAACAACCTTTTTCCTCCAATTCTCCATGTGTCAAGATCCTGAGTATGTGTCCACGTGTCTGGTGATTTTGGACTCTGGTTAGCCATATGGGATCCAGCTTCCACTGTGCAGCATTTAACCATTGTGTCAAGGGGCAGTCTAAGTCTTCACTTGTAACCAGTGATCATCCAGCTGTAAGACCAGTATGCCACTAGGGATATTGTTCGCTTTCAGTCCCAGCCGAGCAGTGACAGGGGCCTGACCAGTGCTGTGTTGTTGGCTTAATGATTATGTATTTCTTCAGAGAGACAGAGGGGTGAGAGAGAGACAGCCACCCAACAGGGGCTTAACACTGCAATCCAGCAACTTCAGCCAGCTCTGATCAAGGGTCAGCCTTGCAGCTTGGCATTTTACCATTTGTGTCGCCATCCAGCCCCTGATGTGGAGATCTTACATGGAGAATCAGTGAAGAATTGAGCTCCCCATTAGACTGGGAATCTGTGGGGCATCTCCTGCAGGCTGAGAATGGCTTTCACCTGATAGCATGTGCTGGAGAAAAATACTCCAGTAATATCTGGGGTCAGAAGAGTGCCTGGGGACAGCAAGTGGCATGGAGGCTAGGATGACTATAATGTAGGAAAGTGGGGAGTGGGGGAGTTCCAAGTCCTTTCTCAGCTGGATCCCATATGGCTAGTGATCAAGTTAGATTCCCAGACTCTGTAGCCTGAAAATCATACCAAGAGGACCCGCAGTTAGCGCAATGGCTATGTTGCTGAACTCCCATGTAGTCGACCGCGGTTCGAGTCCTAGACTTGTTGGCTTAAACTCACGCTGGGCGCGTGTGCATGCATGCCCAAGATCCCGAGAGGAGAATGGAGGAGAAGGGATTGCAGTGAGGCCGTCCTCCCTGGGGGGTGATTTCTTGTTTTCTTTCTCTCTGTCTCTCTTTGTCTTTCTGGCGAGCACACGTGCCCTATAGCAAAAACCTCTCACAAAAGAGAAAATCATACCAGGCACATGTGTATGCATACCCAGAATTCTGAGAGGGTCCTGGAGGGGAAGGGATTGTGATGTGGCCATCATCCTCCCCCCCACTCCCAGGGGGATGATTTCTCACTTTCACTTTTCCCTCTCTCTTTGTCTTGGTCTCTTTCTGGAAAGCACATGCCACTTTTAGTAAACTAAAATAAATAAATAAATAAATAAAAGAGTGACTGTCTGCCACTTAATACTCAGATGATTTTCCTCAAGCCACTTCTTAGCACCTCAGTGTACTCCATTGTTAAATAGAGATGTCATTGCCATTTTATAGGGTTCTTGGGATTTAAAAAGATTACCATTTTTTTTTTTTTGAGAGGTTTTCACTGTAGGGCACGTGCGCTCGCCATATAGACAGAGACAGACAGAGGGACAGAAAGCAAGAAATCACCCCTCAGGGGGTATGGCCACGCTGCAACCCCTTCTCCTCCATTCTCCTCTAGGGATCTTGGGCACGCACGCACACGCGCCTGGCGTGAGTTTAAGCCACCAGGTCCGGGCGCCAACCGTGGTCGACTACGTGGGAGTCCAGCGACACAGCCATTACGCTAACTGCTGGTCCCAAAAGATAACCAATTTCTGTACTTCTGAAAGTTATTACTACTCAAGTATTTGATGTGCTGATTCAGCTTCTCCATAAGCGTCTTGAAGGCAGGCATAATTGTGTATTGCATTTTCTTTGATTCATTAGTTGGGAATATCTATTACACCTCACACTGTGAGTGTGTTTTCTAATCTGTCAAATGGATCTTGCTTCCCATGCGGCCCCCATGTGGGTAAAAACTGTGAGGGCCTCCTGTACATTGCGAAGAGCTATATGTAGAAGGCATCGATATAATTACTACCATTATACCATTAGCAGTAGTGCTTTGTACTTAATTACTGATATATTCAAACAGAGCTACAAATGCAGCCAGTTCCTAAGGACTAAAATTTTTTCATGTCCCACAGGAGCAGCCTTAGCGGGTTTAATATCTAGACGCTTCTTCCAGAAGTTAAGCAAGACAAGTTTGGGGAAGATTTGGTTTAAGTTGGAGGACGGCGCTCCGAGTCCGGGAATAACGCAGGGGTCCTTTAAATATTGGGATGGAGGGGGCGGAGCCGTAGTCAGGGACGCGGCGGGGCCGCTTGGTTTCCAGGATGTGACGTCGTCAGGCGGCCGCGGAGATGGAGGAGGAGCTGGACCTGGGCGAGGATCGGCGCCGTGGCTCGGCTACCTCCGTGAGGACCGACGCGGGGGGCTTGGGGCCAGGATCTGGTGGGTGGGGAGGAGCGT